TCTAGGAAAATCTTCCAACATAGGGCGGGCGGCACACTCAACATGCCCTGTGTGTGACTTCCTCTCTCTCCTCAATAGTGGGTCCCACTGAGGACCCACTCATAAATAACTCATAAATAACTACTGAGGTAGCCAGACACTTGGCCCCCTCCTTTCAGCCTGTGGCCCTATAAAGCTCAACCCGATGCTTTGAATTGAACCAGCTCTAATTTGGACCCATGTCACTAAACCAGGCAATAATTTGGTACTGACCCTTTATACTTGGCTCTGGGAAGCTATGAAGATGCTCCCTAGGTTCAGGGGCCTCTGAGAGCAGCAGTGGAGCAGCCCAACTGAGCTCCTCAGTACTCCTACCTTGTGCAAATGGCACAGCAGGAATGAAAATGCCTTTCATGGCAGGGGTGGGGGGTGAGGGAGTTGGAAGGGGCAGCTTACATCAATTCTTAGAGGGTCAGATAAGACCAGGAGCTATTCCTCTGTTTATTTTTGCCAGAAATACATATTTATATCAAGAAAAGGTTGCCAAGACTTGGGAAATATTTGAATTATTTAATCAGCCTGAAAAAGAACCCACTGGTTGGTGTTTGGATTGGCTAATGAATTTTAATCTTGGTCTTATCCCAGATCCATAGTTAGCAAACTATAGGAAAGAATTCTGGGAACTTCTTGCCCGGCCTGAAGAATGTTCTATTCTTGTGAGGTTAGAAGCCTGGGACTGGGCTCATTTCAGTGTGGTTCCAGGTTAAAGCAAGGCCTCCAGGGACATCCCAGAAGCCTGCTATGGGACGGGGCCTCCTGACCCTCTGCCCTGGATGGTATGCACACTGCTGGGGTCCAGCTTTGCCTATTCAGGGTCGTGATCATTTCAACAAAACATGGGTTTGAATTCTAGGTCTGGCCCTTGTAGTAGTGTAGCACTAACTTGATTTACTAGAAGCTGGGATAATGAGCACTTGTGAGCACCAACTGTCGTGCTCACATCCCCCTCCTCTGTGGCTGTGGAAGCATCTTGTAAGACTATGGCTATTCAACATTGAGCAAAATCAGCAAAAATGTGTCTGTGTGTATACAAGGGATGAATGAACCCTTATGTATAATGTATATTTATCTGCACACACACACACACACATGACTTCTCCAAAACTCCTGGTGTCTATATGATGTTAGATTGGCCGAACGATGTGAATGAGCAATCCGGTACTTTGAAAGTTGTGGCCTTCACATTTGCAGTGTATTTTAAAGGCTTGGGTAATAAGGTGGAGGGAAGCTTCTTGAGAACCACACTTTGTGCGTTCATTCCTTCCTTCCTATTCCCTGGCACACAGCAGCACAACGATGTCATAGTCACCATTCACAGAAGAACCTGACCCCAGTTACACACTAGTACAAGCAAAACCTAGGATTTGAACCTGAACCTATCAGGCCAGTGTCTTCTCTGTCCTCTTCACACCTGTACCCAGCTGCCAGGATACCCGCCTCCCAGACTGAATTCAGTGTAATTACACTTCTTGGGTCTCAAATCCTGACTGAAGTCAAACTTTTGTCTGGTTATCAGACTATAGACAAAGGATTTAGGCTAATATGTCATAGGAGCGCATAGAATTCTGAAATACATGTATTTGACATTCATCAACAAAAACTTCTGGCCTCCAGCTCCCACCCCTCTCTAATTTTCTCCCTGGTTGCAAACGAGACGGAACAGGCAACTCCAAGCTCCTGGTCTCCATTAGCCTTTTCCACTCAGTGCCAGTGAGCAGTGAAGTGAAATGGCCACCCAGTGAGCAGAGAGGCAGGGTCCTCATTGTCCTCAGCGTGGATTATGGCCCCATAAACAGCACAACACACTAGCATTGGCAGAGGCTGCAGCCGGGCTGGCACGGGCCCCCCCCCCAAACCAGGCATGGACCCCTCTGTGGCAGAAGAGGAAGTCTCTGTGCCCTGCTTCCCAAGTGGCCATTCCAGGAAGGACTCAGACGATCTGACTTATGGAAACCAAATGGCCCTCTTTTGTTTAGAAGGGGAGGGGAGAAGCCACTCATTTTTGTGGTAAAGTGAAAACAGGCTCCAAACCAAACAGTCCCTCTCAGAGCAGAAAATGCCAGCTCTACAAGTAAGCCCACAGCCTCCCAGCCCAGGTTCAACCTCAGGGACATCAGAGCTTAGCCCAAGCGGGCACAGACAGCCCTTCCTCCTACCATCTCTGCTTTGTCCCCAGAAATATTTAGTCTCCCAGACAGGAAAGGAAAAGAGGAGGAAAACTGGCAATGCCCTGCTGCCAAGGCCAGGGTCTGCCCCCCACCCCTTGTTAGCTAGGACAGAGAGAGGAGACAGGAGCTCACGCGACTAGTGCATGCAGCCCTGGCAGAGCCCTAACTGCTTCACCGCTGTGGCCACCTCAGCAGCCCCCCAGCTCTAACCACAGCGTGCAGCCTGGAATCACTAGGCCTTCTGGGGCCAGCGGGTGGCTGCCCGTGGCTCTGCGGGTGGGGCTGCACCGCAGGTACTGTGTGTGAGAGTCGAGGATAAACCACAGCCACAAGGAAATAAATACAAGTTCTAGTCAGCCATGGCAGGCAGAGTTTGGCTCAGTCCCTCCTACGGGCGTCCCGGGAGCAGGAAGTCTAGAGAGCGCTGTAGAGTTTGGCTCTGAGCCTGGCTTTGCTTCTGTCACTATGCAGCTATGGTGGCACCTTGGCTTTCTGAACCTACATTTTTCCATCTGAAAATGATCCTGGGATGGGAACGTGGCCCGGTTGGTAAAGTGCTCCACAAAAGCACGAGGACTTAAGTTTGAAAGCCTAGCACCCACATGTGAAAAACAAGCAAACAGGTAGCTGAGCACAGCAACACGTGCCTGTAATCAACCCCAGTACTGGAGAGGTAGGGCCGGGAGGAAAGCTATAGCTGGCCACAGAGCCTTACCAAATCAGGAGGATCCAGTTCAGTGAGAAAACCTGCTCAAAAACTAAGATGGAGATACCCAACAGAGGAAGACACCCAATGTTGACCTCTGGTCGCCACACAGAAACTCTCTCTTTCTCTCCCCCTCCCTCCCTCTCTCCCTTTCTCTCTCTGTCCCTCCCTTTTGCTCTCTCTCATACACATACACTTCTCTCACACACACTCCTCTCTCTCTCACACACACGCTCCCCCCTCACACACGCTCCCCCCTCACACACACGCTCCCCCCCTCACACACACGCTCCCCCCTCACAC